GGAAATCCTGAGATACTTCGGCCCTTTACATGAGTAGACTGGAGTTGGTCAGGCAGAGCAGGAGTCCTAAAGACTGAGTTTGACAGTGGAAGTGGCCAACAGTCTATTCTATACGTATTTATTCTGAACAAGTAGTAATTCTTTTAAGCCCATATTTCAAGGTGGTTTTTCTTATGGTAGAATTTAATGGTACTATTTTGAATATTCAGGGAATTTTTAAGAGGAACGTAGACGAGAAGTTTCCATTTGTATTGTAGTTCTACATTATATCATTTATTTCTAAACAAAAGTTAAAGGTATCATTTGCCAAAGTTTGTAACATTTACAGCACCTGATGTGGGTTTGTTTTTGTTGTTATTTATTTATTCTATGGATTCATAGCAATACACCTGAAAAGCTCACTTTGAACTGAACAATTTCCTCTGCAGCATCACAATAAAAAGAAAATATAAAGCTATTCCTAATAGGTTCATACTGTTATCAACACTAACTCTGTGTGTGTGTGTGTGTGTGTGTGTGTGTGTGTGTGTGTGTGTATGTGTGTGTGTGTGTGTGTGTCTGGCCTGAGGTCAGCTTTGGGTGTTGCTCTTCAGGAGCACTTAACTTACTTTTTGAGACAGTGTCTCTTCACTAAAACTTGGGGATTGTTTACTAATTTTGCTCAGATAGGCTGAGCCCAGGGAACCCCAAAGATATGGCTGTCTGCATTTTCTCTCCCCTGGAATTACAGATACATGACCCTTCTCCTCAGTGTCTGCCTGTCTGGTTGGTGGAGATTGAACTCAGGTACATGGAGGGTGGCAAGTACTTTCCTGACTACACTGTTTTTCCAACTTATGTTATTATTAGGAAGTACTTGTGACCATGGGTAAATCACTGTGCACTGTATTGTGTATTGATTGTCAGCATGATTGGCTTAAGGAACAACTAAAAGTGAAACACAACTGACTATATCTGTGAGCATTTTCCAGAACAACTGAAGAGGAAAATCTGTCCAGACCTGTTTATGTGGGAACATGGTCCCATAAGCTATGGACCTAGATCAGCTACAGTGGAGAAAGGGAGACTTGATGCTTCCTGTCTGCCGCATCTGCTACCCTTATGCACCTTCAGACTGAAACCTCCAAAACTTGAGGCAAAGAAATCTTTCCTTTTTGATTGCGTGTGCAGGCAAATTGCTGCAGTTACAATAAACTAACATACACATTAATTAGCCTTTGGAGACTCTGTTTTTTATTTTCAGTAGAAGGTAGATGAGATCACTTCCAGGGTTGGAATTTAGAATCTGTGATCTTCAGTTATCTGTACATGTAACCATTTCTCACGCTAGAAATGAGTACCTTTTAGAGAGTTGCTCATCTGCCATGACATGACTGAAGTTCTTTCTCAACTATCCAAGGAAGGAACCTTGTCAAAACAAGGTTCTCAAGACCCAGCTCAGTAGGCCCTTGTTTTATAGCAGGCTTTTTGTTGGCTTGGCATATGTGTAGGTTGTCCCTGATACCATTTCCAAAGAAGAAGCATGTGGAAGGAATGACAGAAGCACATTTCAACTTGGATTAAATTTGGCAAAATAATCCAGTATTTTAAACTGGAACTATTGATAGCTATCTCATGCTGTTGGAACTATAAGTGGATCTAATGCTTCTAAAAATTGTTCGGTTGTAAAGTGTTTGCAGGAGCAATTTTTATAATAATAACAATGGTAACAGTATTAAAAAGTTGTTAAAGAGCCGGTAACAGTGCAGTGTTGGTTTTGGAGGAGAAACTACTTACTAAATAAAAGATTTAGAAGAATCCAACACCAGTGTTTGCAGAAGATTTGAGTAGGCTTATTGTATGAGTATGTCACCAGGACTCTTAATGGTTCTAAGCACCTACCCTCATCCCTGACCCTGTCAGCTTCCCTCTCTTAGGTGGTACTCAACATGTGTTCTTAAGAGTAAAGGCAGAATGATCCACTTGATCCCTGCTCTGCTTTTTGCCATCTCCTTTTTACTGAAATTCTTGAAAATACACCTTTCTTCTCATGAGCTCACTCGAATTCCCCACAGGGAGCTTCCAAGACATTAATATGCTATTGTTTGAAGGGTAGATTTAATTTAAAAGTTGCTGTCTATGTTCTATGGCATTTAAAACGTCTGGCCACAATCTCCCATTTCAAACATACAGGCCAGCCTTTCTTTTGCTACTCACACAGGGTCATTTCCTGTGTTCTGTCCATGGCATCAGCACCAAAAGATTAAAGATTGTATTTTTTTTTATTAGCTGATGTATAGTTACTGTCATGCCTATATAGGTAATCAATAAAATATTTAACAAGTTATCCTTCCTATTACCAAATTCAGTTCCTCTTCAAGTTCTATTTCTGGGTCCATTTTGCTGTTCTTTACTCTTTAGTCTATTTTTTGCCTTAATTCTGTAGTTTCCATTTTTGCTATTATTGTTTATCAGCCTTTTTTGTTTCAAGTTTGTGATCTATTAAGACAGACTAGCTTTGTAGCACAGCAAATCTGCCTCTTTCCAAAGTGTTGGGATTAGAAGTGTGTGGCAACATAAAAGTAGATCACTTAGAAGCATTCCATAGGAAAAAGAAGACTACCATTGTTACTTACCTACTTCTGCTTACTTAGATCTAGTCCTGTTTATCTCGTGCATTGACATACTAAGTCTGGTAAGCTTTTTCTGCCTATAACTCTGCCCTTCTGCTCTTCTCTTCATCGTGTTTATAACTAAAGCAATCCTTGTAAATCTACCATAGTATGTTTTCTCTTGCTGCGTATTACAAAGTTTAGAAATTGGTTTTGGTGGATTCTTTAAAGTTGGGGAACAAAGTTTAGTTTAAAAAAAGAAGGGTATTTTTCTTTTCTATTTTTAAAAATTTTCAAAACCAGGGCTCAGCTATTAGCAGATTATTAACTGCCTCTCACTGGTAAGGGTACAGTAGAATGCTAAGCACTCAGATTTGACAGGGAGTTGGAGCCTTTGAAGCAGTACTCTAGCTCTCTTGGTTTTTCAAACAATATAGTTTTTTAAACGAAATTTAGTTCTTTCAAAGAATCTTGTGTAGACAGGTGTTTAATGACTAAGGTCTACATCTCGTATCTATAGGCACTAAAACTTCATATGTTCAATGATTGAGTTAGCTTCTGGGCTCCTTGAGTAGGTGGGGATAGAAAGGGTGTTCTTTACTTTTCACTTCCAGAGGTCTTTGTGCTGTGTGAGTATTAAGTCTGGAGTCTGCATCTGAAATCCAATCTTGGGCTACTGCGTGAATTCTCCGAGTGTACGTCTATATTTGTAAAACTGAAATGGTAGTTACTGTAAAATAACTTACCCTGAAGACTAATGCATGTGAGAAATGTTTTATAATGCAGAAATCTTTTCTTTAGAAACAATTGCTCAGAGTTAACAGCCTTCTTTGTGTGTGTAATTACTATTAGTTTTATGTTTAAGTTGATTGTTCAGCCTAGAAGGTAAAGAATTCCTTCTTTAAGTTTACATTCTTCTTTTAAATTTTTTTAATTTATTTGTTTTCACAAATTAGAGTTTATTCACTTTGTATCCCAGCTATAGCCCCCTCCCACATCCCCTCCTAATCCCACTCTCCCTCCCCTTCTCCTCCCATGCCCCTCCTGAAGTCCACTGATAAGGGAAGTCCTCCACCCTTTCCATCTGACCTTAGCCTATCAAGTCTCATCAGGACTGTGCATTGTCTTCCTCTGTGGCCTGGCAAGGCTTCTCCCCCATCAGGGGGAGATGATCAAAGAGCTAGGCACTGAGTTCATGTCAGAGACTCTCCATGTTCCCGTTAAAAGGGAAACCACTTGGAGACTGAGCTGCTTTGGGCTACATCTGTGCAGGGGTTCTAGGTTATCTCGATGCATCATCCTTGGTTGGAGTATTAGTCTCAGAAAAGACCACTGTGCCCAGATTTCTTGGTTCTTTTGCTCTCCTTGTGGAGCTCCAGTTCTTTCCATGACTTTCTTTCTCCCCCTTCTTTCATAAGATTCCCTGTACTCTGCCCAATGTTTGGTTATGAGTCTATACCCTGCTGGGTACATTCTTTCAGAGGCCCTGTGTGGTAGGCTCCTGTCCTGTTCCCTGTTTTCTCCCTTTTCCGAGATTCATCCCATTTGCCTTTCTGAGTGAGGATTGATCATCTTCCGGGTCCTCCTTCTTGCTTAGCTTCTTTAGATGTACAGATTTTAGGATGTTAAATTTTTTGTTGTTTTAGGTAGGCCTTTTTATATAGCCCAGAAATTTAAGATCTCTTTAGCTTGTCCTTCCAAGTGCTGGGATGTATTGCTGAATTCTTTTTTTTTTTTTATTTTTACTATTTATAATTTCGGATTTTTCCTAGTTCTATGTCTACTTTATAGAGATTTCCAGAGTTCTAGATATCAGAGAGTACCACTGACAAAGGACAATGTATGCTATTTTCCATGCAACTAGCTTTTCATATCATTTTCTCAGTATTATAATTTGTTTTAAATCTATGGTGCTATTTCTGTTGTTATTTTCAGGTGCTAAAATCAGTGAACAAGTAGCACAGACAGCTTTAAAACTCTTTAATTCTTTGTTTTACTTTTTTTAATTTTGCTCTCCATATGTCATGGTTATTATTTCACATATATGAGTGTCATTCATGAATGTAATCATGCCTCTAGTTGGTAGGTTTAGTGGTTGTATATCATACAGTTGAATATGTAATTTTTCATGGTGTTTCATGGAGAACTCACTGGATTCATATAAAGTAGACTGTGGATACACTGCCTTGTAAGTAGGACTTAACCAGGTTAGAATGAGGTGATTCTTTAGTCTATAAAGAAGAGGGAAATATCTCTGTAACTAGGGTTGTTTTCACATAGAAAAATGTATTAGCAAGTTAGCTTCTGAATGTGATAGCTAGCAACTCTCTAATTTTGAAAAGAAAGTTTAAAGAATTTTGTTGTTTCCCTTTAGTGTAAATTGCTTTTTCTCCTTTTCCCTCCCACTAGATTGCTGTTCTTTTTTTTGTGCACCATTCTTTATTGCACACACATAAAAAGGGGACGAAATTCTGCAGTGAATGAAGATTCCTTTGCATTTTAGCATTGCTTTTTCTACTGTAGTTGGCTTTTGAATGAGGATGACAATGGAAGAGATGAAGAATGAAGCTGAGACCACTTCCATGGTTTCTATGCCTCTCTATGCAGTCATGTATCCTGTGTTTAATGAGGTGAGTGCACATAGAAGATTTCTGCAATTCCTTGATGTCTGTTTCATTCACTCATCTGTTCTTCCAACAAGACAGATATTTATATGAACTGAACTCTTTGGGTTGGCTCTTAGGTCCAGTCTATATATACACTTGTAGAAATAAAAGCCAATATTCTATTCTAGTCTATGCTATTCTCAGTAGGAGAGATAGACATTACCTATAGTTTTCCAAGTTGAAAATTCTAGTAAGTACTATTAAGTAAGAAAAAAATGAGAAATGGGTAGGTGGGCTTTATTTTCAGGACACAGAAATGAGACATTTATATATTAGAATGTAAAAGAGAGGAATAAGGCTAGAAACAAGCACTTTGTTAGGTAACTAAAGGTTATGATGACAAAGCCCTGTTTAAAAACTGATATCTGAGCCTGGCGGTACTCAGGCTTTTAATTCTAGCATTTGGGAAGCAGAGGTGGGCTGATCTCTTGAGTTTGAGGTCAGTCTGGTCTACAGACTGAGTTTCAGGACAGCCAAGGCTACACAGAAAAACTTTGTCTCAAAAAAAAAAAAAAAGCTGTTGCATTGCATCTGAAGAAGTCAGGTAGCTTTTTTTATTGAAGGAATTGTCTTGAACATGACACTTTTTGTTTAAATTAATATACTATTATATGGAGAGAATTTCACATCTGTAAGTCCCTTAGAGGTTAATTCATACCTTCTATGCAGTGGTGAATAGAGACATTGAATGGTGAAATTATATTTTCTAATTTTATATAAAATTAATGTCTACTCTGTGTGTCCTATCTCTAAAGTCAGTGGCTTTAGCCTTAAAAAAATTAATAATTCTTTTTGCTGCACGGTATAATTAATTTCAAAACCACCAATCTTATTATTGCTAACATAGCTGGAAGCCATTATGAAAATGCCAGTGCCTTGTAGAGTGTTATTCTGAGACTCAAATCTGTTTGTCCTCACATTGTCAGGGATGACAGTGGTATACTTTATGAGCCTAAATCTAGGAAACCATAGAGAATGATTAATTTATACTTTTAACAAACCATGCATATATTAGAATTTTAAACCCTACCAAATACTATCAGGTTCAGAGGACTTTCAGGAGAATTCAAAATAGTGGTGTAAGTAAAAGTTTCTGTCTCCATTATATAAAAGATTCTGAAGGCAAGGAATTCCAAGGCTAGTAATACTATGAATCAGTATCATCAGAAATCATCTTCTGCTTTACTATGTCGCAATCTTCTCAGTATGCACAGTAGCTACCAAAGCTCTATCATGTACTAAGTTCTAGTCCAGAAGGGGGGGAAATGAGATAAGGTGTGAAATCTTGTTTTCTAGCTGAGTCTACTTAATTAATGTGTACCAGAAATGTCCTACACAAGACTATATGCATGTACATTATTTTTTAAGAACTTAATCTTATGACCAGTCTTAACTGCACAAGAGGTTAGAAAGTTCAGAAATCTTTTACTGAGGAGAAAGCCTCTCCTGTAAAACTTGTCCCTTCTGGGGCAGCTCTCAACAAGCCAATAAATCAGATGTATGTTTTTGTTGTGATACTTCATTGCAACTAGCTGTTATTAGAAAGAAGTGCTTCCTTGTGGTATGTTTGTTTGCTTTAGCACTCTGCTAGGCCATGCGGACAGAGAGAAAACAAGCAAGCAACATAACTGTTCTTAAGAGTCTGCTAGGGAATACAACTGTTTAAAGTTACGTAATTAACTTTGTATCAGGAGTGAGATAAGGAGACAAGGAACTTGTGTTTGTAGTACTTAAGGTTTGAATTTCTGACATACTCCAAAAACTGTTTTCATAGTTTCACCCACAAGTGCTCTATCTTTTCAGGTCTGTACACCCAACTTAGAGTCTACAGCACAGAGTGTTAGGGAGAATTTCTGGATTAGTCTAGTATTTTGAGTCTTGGTTTGAGAGGAGGCAAATTCATTTATAGAGCATCAGTTTCATCCTCCAGTTAGTGAACTAAGAGGCTTTAGTTCTAGCAACATGCATCAATTTACTTCTGTGTATGAAGGATGGCTGTTTGAATCTTGTACTTCACTCTAAAAGTGAGGAGTATGGGTTAAATGAACTGTTGGGATTGATATTGATGAAATTTTTGTTTTGCTCATGTATAAAAGAAATTTACTTCAAAGAATAAGAAGTGGCTATGAATAGGATGGTAAATCTCTTCCCTAAGATGATGATCTCCAGGTGAGATTGGTAAACACATGTGATGTCATGGGTATAGACTTAGTGATTCATCATTGTTCTAGGAATTGATTTTCAGGAGTAACGTTTGAGGATAAAGTGGCTGACTGTGTCAACTGGAACATTGCTGCAGCATATTAGTGAGGTCACATTCTAAGTGTCAGTTTGTTAGCCAAATCCTATAGTGCACTTTTTAAAAAATTACTTCCTGTCTCATTCAAAAATAAGCTCAAAACTATTATTTTAGAAATGGCAGTGGTACTTAAATTTCCTCTTAACAGATGAAATCTAGAGTTGGATAGAAGAATAGAATAGAATAATTATTGGAAGTGTTGAGTTAAAAGGTATTGTATTCACTGCTGTTCTTTAGCGTGTTCTTTATCAAGGATATTTCCATTATTCTTTAGCATTTCGGCATGTTAATGTAAGGTGTCTAATGAATTAAATTCATAGTTAACTCTAGTTCAACTATGAATTTTATGTATGGGTACTAGTGGATATATTACAGTTTAGTTTGGCTTTATTGTTCTGTGTTGTACAGATTTAGATAGAAATAAAAATAGTTTCAAATTAATTGTCCAGAAAGTAGTTCTCCATCAGGGCTGCTGAAAATAGATATGACCCTGCAAATCCTCCACAAAGTGTATTATAAACATTAGCAAGTCTGTTCACCCCTAACATTTTATTCATAGTAGCACAGTTTAGGTATCATTTATCTAGAGGAACAATAGAAATTTTGGTACTGTTACTCATGCTTACAAATCACTTATTTGTGGCATTATGAGTGCTAACTGTACTTAGTAACGTAACTGCAAGATAACAGAACACACTTTTTGTTTAGCCAGGGGCCACTGAGTTCAATGTCCAAATATATTGTATACATTGTAAACTTACTGTGGAATAGTCCTCCCTACTGCATAACAGAAAGCATGGTTTCTACCAGCCTCATGCCAGGCCTGAGGTCAGGTTCTCCTGTAACTATTGTTTCTTACTATTATTTGTATATGGAGAAGAATTTCCTTCTTCCAGGAAAAATAAGCCATGTGGAGGGACATGTTTTAAGACATAACATTTTCTGAAGCAATATATGACATAACTTGGAAAAAAAAAAGTTTTGTGACTATATAGGAATTTGTTTATCAATAAATCACCACAAAATATACTTCCGAATAAATGATTTTGTATTCAGATGCTTCTCATTCAGCTACTTCTGCCACTTTTGCTGATATGTAACACTAAATTTTTTTCTAGTAAACAGATGCAAGCTGAGAACTATTCCAACTTAACCTCTTTACTTCATTTTTCTCCCATGTTAGAGGGGGAAGGATTCAGACAAACTAAACATAACTTCTCAACAATGAGTGGATGAATGTTTACCTGTAGTATCTGACATGATCAGTTTAGTACTATTCTGCAGTAAGAGTCATACTTTGCCTGGAATTCCTGTTTAATAAAATTATAATAAATAATAAGTTATTTAAATCTCAACAACCTGTGGAAAATAATTTAATATACGGTAATGTGTTTATGATAATGCTAGGTATATGGTGTTAAAATTATTAATATTTTTGACAACATTGTGGTCAGCATAGAGTTTTCAAACTTGCCAACAGTGTTTCAGCAGATGTTTTTATACTACTTATGTGACTCTTCTTACCTGCTTTGTCATATATGTCATTTGATACTTTAACCTGATTGACCACATTCTTACAAAATATACCTCAAGATTTTAGTCTTGTGATGTGGCCTAGTTTAGTGTAAGAAATAGGATAAGTAAATTTGGAGAAGATTTAAGGATGGTATCATCATGGGAAAACCTAATCTTGTCTGAAGTTGAGGAAGCCAGTAGACTCAAGCAGTTTAGAACTAATTAACCTAAATATTTTGACCTTTAAGAATTAAAAAAAAAGAAAGAAAAAAGCTTTCAGAAGAATCCATACAAGACTGTTGAAAACGTGAGGAAAGGCTGAGTTGATTTATTTTTCTTCTAGTCATGGATTTCAGAACATGTGATAGTTGAGCTATGGGAATGAACTGATAACTTCTCGAGGGATTGGTGAATAAATGAGGTTTATAACTGGAATTATATTTGAACTTATTAAGAGTTTTATTAGTGAATTTGATCCTGAATTTGGCAAGAAAAGTTGATAATAGTAAGTGTTCAAAATCTGTCCTCAGTTCTGTAGCAGAAGCTGCTACTGCTGCAGTTGGTAGTGTGGGGCTAAGCTGAGAGGTAATGCTGAGTTCCTCAGGGACCCTTTAGCAAGCACTGTTGTTCTGCCTCATAGTGGTGATAAAATATCTTAAGCCTTCTTTTCTCTCGTTTGGACTTTTTCCCCCTTCTGTTCAGTAGTGACATGAAGAGAGGGTGAGAGCCAAGCAATGCTGATTCTTGTTTTAATGTATAGTGACGCACAGTGTAGCCTGTAATCTTCCCCCGCTACATCTCCCCACCCTGGTAGAGCCAGCATATGGAGTATGTGCTATCCATTGCTAGTAATATAGTAAGATTGCAAATAGGACAGGGTTCATTATGAGGCTACTCTAGCCAGCAAGTGTAACCCCAACAGCTCACAGCGTTCTACTTAGTAATAAGTATTGGAAACAAAGTGCAATTTTTTGTGTGTGTGTTCTAGACTGACATCAAAACAACATTCTCATGTGTCACCAACTTTGAAGAAACCTTTAAGTGGTAGAACTTGTAAAGATAGTTTTCAGAAGGCAGACCACTGTAAAATCAATTTAGATAACTATGTCTTAAAACTAAGCTGATGACAGTTCTACTTTTCAGCTTTCACGTTGCTACTGAGTTCGACTTATAGTTATTAAAGGTCTGAATTGTCTTTTAATATTGACTTCTTACACATGGTAGAACTCAGGACTCTATTAGTTGTTACAGAGATGCAACTCCAGTGTGGAAAGTGATAAAGGTTGCTTGTGTACAGACCAGAGAGCCAGGCTGATGGCATGAATTCTGTTTCAGTAGAAAGTTGGAAATTTGTATCAACCAATGTTTCTTTGTGTAAAATTAAGATAGCACCATGTGTATTGTGAAGATTAGAGATTATTCTGTAGAAAAAAAAACTCTACAAGCACTTACTTGATCCTTAATGAAATAGCTGCTGTTAGAATGTTGTCAGAATCTCCTGCCAAGAGAGGGATAATGTGATGAACATGGTTTTGTTAAGTCTTAATCACAGCTGAGAGGCATAAAAGTCCTTTTCATGGGGTGGGTAAAAACCGTGCTGCCTAAGAGCAATACAAGCCTATATTGATGTGAGAACAATTTATATGAGTTCATGAAGATGGTAACTTCTCTGCAAACAAGAGGTCTGGGCCTGTGTGCCTGGCTATTCTTGGGCATTGGAACCCACACAAGTAAGAAAACCTACAAGTTTGTTACAGATATGTAGGTGTACAGTATACCCAACCGAATGCCGCTGAAGTGCTTCACGGTTTATAGACTTTGGAATCACTAAGGTTTGTCTGACCTTCCTGTGGCTACTTCCTTTGAAAGATACAAATATTTAAGTGTAGTCTAGAAATCCCTGTCTTGGATCATTTTTACCAACTCTTCACTTGCTGTTGGTCTTCTTTTCCTTGCATTTCAGTGAGGGTGATGATGAGTTATATAGTATGGCTAGTACTTGAAGGTACATATCTGACTCAGACCTGTAGCTGGTCACAGGCAAGCAGTGGGGTGTAAATGCACAGAAGCACGTGAGCTGTCAGTATGGAAGCAGTCATCCTACCTGCCTGTGCCAACTTTCTTACACACCTGAGGTCTGATGAGCTTTGCTGTTACTTTAAACAGCACTCATGATTATTACATCAACTGTGTTATTTACTTGTAAAATAAATTAGCCTCACACGTGATAATAAAATTAAAATAATTACATTTAACATTTTAAAAGTTTTTATTTTTATGTGTATGAGTGTTTTGGGCGCTGCATGAATGTAAAGTGTGTACTGTGTGTATACAGTTCCTGCACAGACCAGAAGGGAATGTTAAAGCCCCCGGAGGCAGAGTTACAGATAGGTCTGAGTCATCATAAGGGTACTGGGAATTGAACCAGGTCCTCCACAAGAGGAGTGAGTGCTCTTAACTGCTCAGCCACCTCTCCATCATCTACAGTTAATTTTGATGTATTATTTTAGGTACTTACTTACCCTTAGAGTAGTAGAGGACAGATGGAAACACCTCTGAAACTCAGGCTTCAGTTTGAGGATTATTATTACTTTGTCAGCACTATTTGCCAATTGGTAAAAACTAGGTAAAGCTTAATCCTTGACTGAGAAGTTAAAGTGATAAAAAAGAATGGAAGCACGTGTTTCGTTGTGTTGGTCCCTCTGATCATTACTTGTATGCACACACAGGACTATAGCTAGGGAATCAGGCAGAATGCTTATCCTTAATTCTCAGTATTTTCAGGAATTCAAGTCAGTATCTCTATTTGTTTCTCTTAGGACTTAGAATCTGTATCATGATTGTATCAAGTATTCTGTAGCACAAATTTATGTTTAAGATGGAGTGCATCTTATTAAAAAAAAAAAAAAAACCAAAAACTTTTTTATAGGTATGAATAAGAATTTTAAATTCTTGAAAAATTATGGCTTATAATTATTGAAACATTTTTGCTTATTGTATGATGGATTTATCATTAGTAAAGAACAAAGCATCAGAAATTATTTTCTCCAAGAACACACATACTAATCATAATTTTAAATTTCTCATTGTAGCTGGAACGAGTAAATTTGTCTGCAGCCCAGACTCTGAGAGCCGCTTTCATTAAGGTGAGGTACAGTAACTTCTTATATTTATTAACTTTTATATGTAAGTCTAAATACCATGTATTGTTGCTAGTTTTCTTTTGGTGAAAATTATTTTAGGTCACATAGATATTTTTTAGTTTTAGACAAGCTTTAAACACAAAAGGCACACAACAAATGCTGTTTCAGATGAGTACTCAGAAGCACATTTTATGTTCCTTCTATTCTTCAAAGTTGTTTATAAAAATGTAAATTAGTTATACTTCATATTGATTAATTATGGGATATAAAATTTGTAAATAATATGGCAGACTAAGGTAACTTTGGGAATATAGTTATGACATTCCAAGTGAGTTTCTTCATTGTTCTTAGACCTAAGCTATTGACAGGATGGCTGGTAACATGGTGAGCTCTTGTGTTCAAACAGATGTGTCCCAAGTGTGAATATTCACATGCTTGGTGACTTTGTGTTACAATGAGTGTGAGCCAGCTTAGTAATAAGAATCCATTTTCGATACACTGTTAAACAATTTCACTGCACACAACCACTGGAAAGCTGAAAATATATAGTTGATTTCATATTTGTTCTCAGCGTATATTTCTATTTGGGGCTATACTTGAGAGACTTAATGTATATATTGAGCATATTGTTTTAAAATGTTACCTGCTTTCTCAACTCACATATATGCTTGGGTGCCCCCAAATATATTTTTATTTACTTTTAAATTTCCATTATTAACTACAGTAACTTAAGTCAAAATATTTTAATGCTTAAATTAAGAATAAACTTAAACATTTTTAGTAGCTGTTACCTTTAGTGATATTCAAAAAATAGGTAAAACAGTGTACCCTTGAGGAATATTTTTCTGACACTGTGACAAAAATACAATTGTGTGATTATGGTAGATCTGCATATCTGGGATTGTCACATAGATACATTATCTACAGCAATGATCTTTTAGTGTTGTTTTTCTTTGTTTGTTTACTACTGACATAAAGTCTTAACTTTACACAAATCTGGACTTGAACTTTGGCCTTAAAATAACCCTTTGGTCTCTGTCTTCCAGGTACTGGAAGCTATAGACATGTACTGTTCTGCTTCAGGCTCACAGCTATGATTGTTAAGTACACATTGATCACATAGTTAAACAGTTACTGTTAAATTCCCCTGCTAGTTAGGTCTCAAGTGAAACTAAAGAAAGCTATGTAGAAGAAGGTGATTTTGTGTTTTTAAATTTCCTTTTGAGAAGCTGCAGAGGTAGCTCAACAGTTAAAAGAACTTGCTGCTCCTCCAGAATACCTAAATCATTGGCCACAAAACTGTGCTTTACCTTGTGGGACACTTTTCTGTCATGCTAGAGTCCTTACAGAGTTGAGTACCCATCACATTCAAGGTTGAAATCATCAAGTGCAGATAGCATCTCTGATCTCAGAGCAGAGGTTTTGGAGGTAATTGTTGAATTTGAGGTGTTGAAGGTTTAGCCAGCACGTTAGCCAGAAAACACCAAAACAGCTGTTCTCAACCAGTGGGTTGCAACCCATTTGTGGGGGTTGAAGGATGCTTCACAGGGGTCAACTAACACCATTGGAAATAATCATATTCATAACAGTAGCAAAATTACAGTTATGAAGTAGCAACAAAAATAATTTTGTGGTTGGGAGTCATCACAACGTGAGAAATTGTATTAAAGGGATCAGCATTAGGAAGGATGAGAACAACTATACTAAGACGTATAATCCCAAAGTTATGCCAGGCACACTGCAAACTCAAGAGGGTTGTGTGAAGAATTTTCAAAAAGCGAATGCCATGATACTTAGCATCTGTTTATACTGTATGAAGTATACTACTTCATACTTCATATACTACTTCAAGTAGTATACTTCTCCTGAAGTAGTTTGTGATTTCAACATACTAGATGGATCTGTATTCCTTTAAATGATGTCGCATTTTTGTGGAACTAATAAAAGCCAAGTAACACACACACACACACACACACACAGGATCAATGTGCAAGAAAGAATGGGAATGGTAGCTCCAGTGTAAGGCCAGTGTTTGAGAAATGACAGTGCTTAGGGAGTGCAAACATCCCATTAATACGTAGCAATGAGATTAATATTAATTAATATTAGCAGTGAGATAATCTGTTGTCTGTTTTGTTGAATGCATAGACTTTAGGCTTTGGGTTGTGGAGTTGTTAGAACATACTGCCTACCTAAGTTATTTGCACTACCTAAGCAGCATTTGGCTCTAAGAGCTCTATGAACTGAGAAAGTTGAGTGAGTCTGTGAGACTTTTTGCTGTGCCAGATCTAACTTGAATTAAGAACTTTGTTTGCAGACTTTGATTTAATTCTTTCAGCATTTTAACTTAATTAGCAAGATGTTTTTCTACAGATCTTTCCTGCAAGCACCTAGAGAATGCTCCCATGCCCCCAAGGCAATTCATTATGTAGGTGGACTTAATGCTACCCATACAAGGAAGATAAACAACTGTTAGGAAATAAGCAGCAAGTATAATTTTTGGCAATTTAGGAAACGAATATTGTAACAGTGCATGTAGCCATATTTGAACGTTTTTTCTTTTAAAAGTTACCTTGACAGAACAAACAGAATTTAGATGTTTCATTAATCATTTATCACAGTGATAAGCATAGCAGTTGACACCTAGTACAGTGATCTCAGCATTGAGATACATGTGTATATTCTGTGCCTCTTTCCAATTTTAGTTCACAACCTCAGGTTTTTCTACTTGAGACCTCATAAGAACAAGAGTGTTTTAAGAAAGTGGTGAAACAGAAGAAAACTAACTGCGGTAACATTAGAACGGAACAGCAAAGGCAGAGAGGTTGTGTTTGACAACTAAGGAAGCAAAGTGAGTGCCATCAGGTCAAGGTGGAAATTATGTTTTTACATGATTATTGGGTAAAAGACAAAAAACATTATATCGACTTACTTGGCAGGCATCCTAAAGTAGACAAACTTTCAGTGGGATTAGGAATTTTCTAAGTGGAATAGAACAAAATTACTGAGAAAACAGAAATGCAGAATTTGCCTTTATATTTAGTCTTGGTATGGCAAGATTTTAGTGCCTAGATTTAGCTCAAGTAATGTAGAAGGAATGTACATTTAGTTAAGAAGCTCTGTATATTACATTCCAGGGTACTGTAGGGTGTTGATGAGTTGGTTCCATGTGTAAATACTATTGTCAAGCAGAAAACTAATGCCCAGAGCTGTCTTCTGATTTATACTTGAGCATGTGTCCTTACCTATGGCTAGACAGACAGCCTATTACACACGCACAGACACACGCCCCAATAACAATAATTATAAATAACAGTCGATTTTGAATGAGTGAGATTGTAAAAACCATTGAACAAAATTTTTTGCTATGAAACTAAAATAGGAAATGGAAATTATTGTATGGAATAGTAGGTAAGGGAACAAATCGATTTTATTAAAAACTACAAAAGTTACCCTGGTGTATTATTTTGCTCTTCCTGGCATTTAATTCTAATACAGCACATCTTTAAATTATACTTGGTAGGAGTTATTATTGCCACTCCTTAAGATGAAATATTACATATGCTAAAACCCCTCTCTGCACTTAAACTTCATGGAAAAAGTATTGTATGAGCGGAGATGGGGAGTCTCTGTCAGATTGATTGAGAGAGAATACAGAAGAGAGGCGAGGAATCCTGAGTGCCTCTGTGACTGCACATAATGAAAATGTGCTGGTGCCTCGGCTGTCGGAGCTGCAGACAGTGCCCTCAGTGCTCCCTGCTCCCCACGTCCCTGTGTCCATAGAAGGGAATACTTTCTGAACAATTAAAATTTACCTTTAAAGTGCTGACAACAGTTCTGTGTTTCAAAATTAGCAGATTTTTTTTTTCTTTCAGGCTGAAAAGGAAAATCCAGGCCTCACACAAGACATCATTATGAAAATATTAGAGAAAAAAAGTGTAGAGGTTAACTTCACAGAGTCCCTTCTTCGTATGGCAGCTGATGACGTGGAAGGTATCAGAAAGAAGACGTGTTCAGTGTCTCCCTCCCTGGGAAGGACTTCTTTCAGATCCTTACCATTTGACCAGACAGTTGTCCCCCTGCCCCATGCCTTCATGCTTTTCGTGATGGTTGTGAGCATTGTCTGTACAAAGTAGACACGCAAGCCCTTTAACTTTCTATACTTGTCAGATTTAGCTATATGAGGCATTTGTTGCTGCTGCATCTGTTATTTTTTACCCATTCATATAATGATAAATGAGTCTCAGTTTCACTAGTTCAGAGAAGTATTTTGTGTTGTATTTAAAGGAGTGAACCGTTTGTCTGTCTTTTTTTTTTCAACTACAGATTTGAGAGTGCAACACTAGTGTTGCTGCTTTGCTTTTTAATAAAAATTTAGAGATGGGTTTCACTTAAAACACCATTTTTACAATTAAAATATATATATAGTATCTTACCTTTACTAATAGAGAAGAGAAAGAAGGTCTTTGAATTGATTCCAGGACTTTCAGGAAAGCCTTTGTCGTTTCCTGAGATTTAAACTTAGGCCAGTTTGGCCAGCCTACATTGAAGGCGTAAGTTGCCGAGATTCCTGCAAGACAGTGAGCCTGGTAGTGAGCCTATTTTATCTGCCAAGTCTGATTGAACTCCTTTCCAAAATGCCATTCTGTGATCCCAGCTAAGGTGTTGGATTTGTATTAGTCTTTGTTTACAATGAGAATTTAAGAATGTACTGAAAAATCATAGTAATGAAGCACAGTATATTCCACATTATAGGGTTTTTAATATAATAGCCATAGTATATTCAGCACTATAAGGTTTTTATGAACCATAGTATATTCCACACTATAGTGGTTTAATATAATGAGCCGTAGTGCATTCAGTACTGTAGGAGTTTTAATATAATGAACCATCGTATATTCAGTACTGAAAGAAGTTCATAAAATAGACTGCAGCGTATTCCACAGTATAGGGATTTTAAGTTACTAAATTTAAATTTCTATTCACAAATGTATAAATGAGCTTCACTTTCTTCATGAATTTAAGTATTTAAGGCTTCATGGCATAGTAGAATATCAGTACTGATAAGCGTAGATCAGTGGATGGGTGATTTCGTACATATTCCCATATATTTCAAAAATGTTTGGTCTTACCCTGTTTTACCTCAGCATAAACTTTTTTTTGAACTGTACCAAGTTGAACTTCTTTCTCTTTCTAACTAAATGCTTATTCCTACTGTGTGCTTCCTTGGTCAGCATTGAGAGTTCTTAAACTTGGATTTGTCAGAGAGTCACATGACATTTTTTATTGTTTTTCTGGTTTTTTTGTTTGTTTGTTTTGTTTTTGTTTGTTTTTTTTAATCAGAGTACATGATTGAACGACCAGAGCCAGAATTCCAGGACCTGAATGAAAAGGCACGGGCACTTAAACAGATTCTCAGTAAGATTCCAGATGAGATCAATGACAGAGTGAGGTTTCTGCAGACAATCAAGTAAGTGAGGTTTTTGCTTTGATCTTTTTTTATAACAAGGATTATCAATTCTTTTTATTTTGATATAGAACTTAATTAGAACATTAATTTGAAATAAAATCTGAAAATTTGAATGCCATTAACTTTGAACACAGTGGTCTCAGAGTGTCCTGTTCTTTAAGAATGTTTAAGTGGCAGTAGTGAATCAATGAAATAGTGGAGAAAACATGATAATAATTTAAATTATATAAATAAATTATATAACTAACGTGTATTTCAGATGAAAGCATGCAGACACTAGGTGGGTAGTGGTGGGACATTCAAAGTCATACTCTTAGCTTCAGACCATTGAAGTAGGGGTTTTTAGAATCAACAATGTCTTAGTACCATCACTTCCCTGTATTAACTTATTATATTTTTAATAATTATTCCTCTAGGTGATGAGAATGAGACAAAAAAAGTAACTTACATTTCTAAGGGTAAAGAGCAGTTTGAACTCTAGTAGGCTGATGCCAACATTCTCTGTGCTGTTTTCCATTCCTAGATTCATAATGTTAATCTAATCTATGAAAACAAGTTTCTGCTATTTGAATTGAAATGTAATGATGGATCATCCACTGAATGTCAGTGAGTCGGGAGTGAAATCCAAGGCAGAAATGTAGAACCAGTTTCTTTCCCCCAGGACACTAGTTCTCAACCTGCATATCATGGGTTGTAACCCCATTGGGGTCCCATATCAGATATCCTGAATATCAGGCATTTACATTACAGTTCAGTAGCAAAATTACAGTTGGTAGCAATGATAATTTTATGTTTGGAGGTATCCACACACAACAAATTTTATTAAAGGGTTACACCATTAGGAAAGTTGAGTACCACTGTTTAGGCAGTCAGTGAGGCACCTCTTTACAACCTACTGTAGCCTCAAGAAAATAGGGTGCAAGCTATGTTATGAACAACTAAGTTCTATCTCAAGACCTTGAGAGGTCGCCCATATTTTTAACAAAGGCATGGATGTTACAATTTCATTTCCACTGTTTTAATGTATTAAACACCGTTGCATTAAGAGTAATGGCGTAGAAATATTTAGTTGAAATTTCTACTAAATATATTCCTATGCATTTGAGGATTTATTTGCCCAAAGTTTTTGGATGTCCACATTATGTCTGAAATGAGGAGCCAATCATGTTTGAATAGCACAGATAGCTACAGTTTAGTTTTTTTCTTTAATATGCCTTACCTTTTCATATTTAAATTAATAAGCCTACTTTCCCATATTTTAGCAATATTAAACTTATTACACCAAATTTTATAGGCATATAAATGATTCTGTAGGTTTTGTTTATGTAGTGAAAATACTTCTGCTGACTAGTATGTATAAGCATTTTAAAGTATATTTGCCAAATTGGATTTGAATCGGTGTCATAACACATAGTTCTGTTACAAGTTGCTTAGGTTTTTGACTGTGAAGAATGAAGGTAGGTCACTGGAGAAATGGCTCAGTGGTTGAGTGCACTGACTGCTCTTCCAAAGCAGACCGGGGTTCAGTTCCCAGAACCCACATGGCAGCACCGAACATGGCAATTCACAACTATCTGTAACTCCTGTTGAAGGGGATCCGACACCCTCACACAGATGTTCATGCAGACAAAATACCAGTGTACTTAAAATAGAAATACATCTGTTATAAGAATGAAGGTAACACTCATAAGAACTGAAAGAAGTATTATGCATAAAGTCTAGCAGAAAACCTGAAGCAAACACATCACATTAACACTAGGAAGGAGGAAAGGCTCCTCTTTTTCTGTACCTAGTTGGTTAGGAAAAAAAAAAAAAAAAGTCTATTATGAGAATATTGTAAATTTTTTGATTAATGAATACTTCTGTTTGAACTTATATTGGAACTTCTTTGTGGAACTAATTTTAATAAAAGTCTGGCACATTCCAGTTGATGAGAGCTAATGATGATCCTGATTTAATGCATCAAAAGCCATGCATTCATTGGTTTATTCTTTGTTGTTTACTTTATATCCTGTCAGGCAACTTAGTTCAGGAGAGCTAAACTGAGCATGCTGTGTAGGCACTGCTTCAGTCTTCCGATGTAAAGATGCATATGTGAATTTGGGTGGGACATTTAGGAGCTCTACTTTTCTGTTCAGTTTTCTTATGTGTTTGTTCGTTTGCTAAGTTCTATGTACATTTCATCTGATGTCCATTGCCTACCTTTGTGATGTGTTAGACAAAACTTACTAAACAACTGTAGATGCACATTTCTTCTCTCTGTATCGTATCTGTCAGTTATTACAGAATGCATCTGCAAATTCTTTATAACAGAATGACACTTATTTTACCTCAATGCTTTATCTGGTTCACTGTCCAAGTATTGTTTTGCACTGGTGTGTTTTTTTTGCAGTTTGAGAATTCCCAGGTGACTACTCATACAATTCAGTGTTCCTAGTATAAACCTATGCTTTTCTGTGTGTATATGGATAATGTATTTGACGTAAGTTATTTCAGGATGTTTTTTAAAGACATTGTTCAACAACTGGGTAAGACACTGTTTTGCCAGATCTCCATTTACACCAGGCTTAGGGATAGTATTGGTTAATATTGTTTTTAAAAGTGCTCTGTATCACTAAGGTAGCAGATCTTAGTCAACTACTGATCACCAAATTGCAGTGGATTTAAAATGTGGCCCATCAACAGTCACCTGGGGTATTCTTTCTACCCCCACCCCATCCAGAGTTATACCGGCTCTTAATTGTATTATAATAAATGTGCAAGAATACAGAGTTTCTGTGTGTCGGTGGGATGCAGGGTGCTGTCCAGTGCATGGTTGCCATATGTAAACATTAAAAACCCAGCCTCTTAACGAATAATTGGCATGTAGTTGTCACCTATAGTCACTAGTCCTGTCAGTACTGCTCCATAATTTGTTCTAACTGTGACTTAGTACCCATTACTCAGACTTTCCCTGTACCCCTTCCTCCACTATCCCCAGCCTCTAGTCAAACCATTTACTCTCAACTTCTATCAAATCAGTATTTTTAGACCTTATTTACAAGGAGAATTATATGGTAATGTCTCTCTCTGTTTTACATCTAGTACTACTCTCCAATTTAATTCATATTATTATAAATTGCAGCGTTCCATTGTTTTTCACTATTGAATAGTATTCATAGTAACATAGTACTGTGTTTACTGTTTCCATTCATCCAGCAGTTGATGGACATCAGACTTGTTTCCTGTGTTTAACTATTTTGTGAATACTTTGTGGTGAATATGGGAGTTATTTCGTCTATTTTAGATGTGTATCTAAGAAGTGAGATTGGTGGTATACCATTTTTTAATTCCTGAGAAACCCTAATACTGTTCTCTACAGTAATGTGATAATTAATGTACAATCCCACCTCAGTGTTTGTGGCTCTCCTTTACAGCCTTGCCAGCATTTGTTATGTTTGTGTTTTTATCACTGATACTCGCCCTAGGGTGAAGTGATGTTTTCTTTTGCTTTTGATTTGTGTTTCTGTTACTTAGTACTGTTGTCTTTCACCTACCTATGGACACTAATGTTTTGAGAAATGTAATTTCTTGTTTATTTCTTAATCTGTTTGATTAATTTGCCTCAGTGTTTTATGTTCTTATCTAGTGTTGTTCTCTTAGGCTTTCTTGGGTGTTTTTTGAAATAAAGGAGAATTTAGTAGTAATTTTATCAGTTGGTATATTATTAAATTTTGTTACTCAGAAATTGGAGAGTAAAGATTGTCTATGTTCAAACCTCCCCCTGTACCCCTGATAGGCTGAAAGCCTTTTCCACAATCCCTGGCCTGACTCTGACAACCAAGGGTTGTCCTTGATTCAGACAGAGCCACTGTGGGTGGAGCACTCCTAGAAGCCTGTCTTGGAACTGTAGCCACCATGGCACCAATCTTTGTCATGGTCCAACAGCACATTAGAGGGTAGGACCAAGGCCCATTCTTGCAAAGGCTCTTGTTTTTTGTAAGCTTACAACCAAAGAAAGTACTAGGCATCAGTGCTGTTCCTAGATTAGAAGTCCAGTAGCCTAGAGTCTGCATTCCCATGTTATTTAGAGCTGTTCTAGAAGCTCTGCTGACAGGGCACCCTGGCAAAGTGTCCAATGTACAACCTGTCCTAGCAAATGTGGTTTGTCACCAAACTATACTGCTTTGGACTGAGGTATTGGAAGAAGACCCTTTCCCACCTGAACTGAAGCTAGGTTTTGTTATACATGAGTCTGCACAGTCTCAGGTATACTGAACCCTTTGTGTAGCTAGCAGTGTTACAAGCCAAACTAGTTTGATGCTGGGACACCGCTAGAATCCTATTATGAGCACTGGCCTAATAATAACTGTGCTACTTGTGTTTCAGAGATGGATGAAGGAGGCAGCAACTTGGTACCAAGGTTAATAATGCTAGATTAAGTTGTGCCTGGGCCTTAGCCGCAGAGATCTGCGTAGTCTGGAGGAGGGCAGCTACCCCTCAGGCAGCCTCAACATGGTTGTTTGCAGATGCCCAGCTCTCTGCCTAATGCCAGAACTGGTCCCAGGCTGTTTGGATTCTTTCTATCATACAAGGCCTCAGTGTCTCTTAGGTGCTTTGCCTCATTATGGGCTTGGACCTCAACAATGAGACAAAGCTGTGCTAACTTTCCTGCTCTTCTTCCTCCTGGCTTATTATATAGAGCAGAGCTAGTGTAAGAGTGGTCCAGGCCATCAGCCTCCTGGCCTGATGCTGTCCTAACAGTTAAGTTTCTAGCCACGCAAGTCCCTGGGGCTTTCCCCAACCCCTGGGTCCCAGTGTGGCTTTGCTAGGATTGTTGCATCCCTGTATCATGAACAGTTTCCTCCTTTAACTGAGAGGCACCTCCCTCTGCTCTGGGTTTCCTGAATTTGAAAGACAGGGGTGATGGAGACTCTTTCCTTCCTACCTCAGGTGCAACTAAAATCAGGCTCTCTGGCCACTCACCTAATTCCACTAGGTTTGTGCTTATAGTTTGATGTTTGTGATAGCTCTTTAATTTGGTGTGTCTGTGGAAACACCAGAGACTGATTCAGCAGCCTCTCATCATGCTTGCCTTCCAGATTCCCAGTTCTTAAAAGCAGCTATAGGATAGACTCTAGCAAAGCCCTTTCTCTTCGTCCTGCCTTGCTCTCCTGCCCAGAAAAGTTAAGCAGTCTGTTTCTGAGCTGCTGACCTGCCCTATATCCATCCATTTCCACTGTAGTCACATCTTTCTCATTAGTTGTGATAACAGTTACATAGTTACTGTTTTTGCAGAATATTAAAATAAACTAAAAAATGATGTTGCATTTGCATAGTATGTAATCGCTGTTATCTTTATTATATTCATTATAGGAAAAAAGGGTATTTACTACTTCAGAATGAGCTAAAGTACTTACTATATGAACTGAGAGAATTAAGTGTGGAAATGAGGAGTATTTTTAGGGATGTGGCTTAGTTGGTAGAGAACTTACCTATCATGTATGAAGAGCAGAATTTAATCCACAATTGCATAAACTGGGAATGATTCCACTCTGGAGGTGGATCCAGGAGGATCGTAGAAGTTCAAAATTCTTAGTTGCGTGTTACTAGTTCAAAGCCAGTCCTGGTTACTTGAGACCATGTCTCAAAAGAAAGATAGCCAGCCATGTGGTGCACGCCTTTAATCCCAGCACTCAGGAAGCAGAGACACGATAATCTATGACGATCTCAGATTCAGGCCATCCTGGTCTGTATCAATGGGGAAAAGGGGGTGATATAACGTGATTCATAATTACACAGACATATTTCTTTCATTGTAGCTGGTTTTAAGGATTTTTTTTGTTCCTTTCCTAACAGGGATATAGCTAGTGCAATAAAAGAACTACTTGATACAGTGAATAATGTTTTCAAGAAATACCAATACCAGAACCGCAGGGTAAGTTGCGTGTCGTTGTTGCCCCACTTACATGCTTGCATTCAGTTGTTTATGACCCGTGAACTGAGGGGTTTGGTGTTTAGACATCGTCTCCTGGAGTTTGTCTACAGATGTGAATATTGTGTGATTATTTGAGTAAAGACTTTTTTTTTTTTTTTTGCTTTTTTTAAATTATTTTTTTTTAATTACAGTTTATTTCATTTTGTATCCCAGCTGTAGCCCCCTCCCTCATTCCTTCCCAAACCCACTTTTCCTCCCTCATCTACTCCTATGCCTCTCCGCAAGTCCACTGATAGGGACAGTCCTTCTTCCCTTCCATCTGACCCTAGCCTATCAGGTCTCATCAGGACTGGCTGCATTGTCTTCCTCTTTGGTCTGATAATGCTGCTCCGCCATCAGGGGGAGGTGATTAAAGAGCCAGCCACTTGTTCATGTCAGAGCCTGTCTCTGTTCCCATTACTAGGGAATCCACTTGGACACTTGAGCTGCCAAGGGCTACACCTGTACAGGGGTTCTAGGTTATCTCCATGCATGGTCCTTAGTTGGAGTATCAGTCTCAGAGAAGAACCCTTTGGCCGGATTTTTTTATTCTGTTGCTCTCCTTGTGAAGCTCCTGTCCCTTCCAGGTCTTTCTCTCTCCCCCTTCTTTCATAAGATTCCCTGCACTCTGCCCAAACTTCAGCTATGAGTCTCAGCATCTGCTTTAATACCCTGCTGAGTAGAGCCTTTCAGAGGCCCTCTGTAGTAGGCTCCTGTCCTGTTCCCTGTTTTCTCCCTCTTCCAATGTCCATCCTGTTTGCTTTTCTGAATGAGGATTGATCCTCTTACCCAGTGTATTTCTTCTTACTTAACTTTTTTAGGTGTTCAGATTTTAGTATACTAGAAAAGATCATTCTGAGTGAGGTATCCCAGAAGCAGAAAGACCACATGGCATAAACTCACTTATAAGTGGATATTAATAATATAGGAGGTAAAGGCTCTTACGGCTTATGGAATATAAAGTCTATCCAATATTCGTTAGAATCATTGACCTTTGACTTAGTCTTTTGTGATATTCTTTTGACTTAGCTTTTTTTTTTTTTTTTTCATAAATATAGGCACTTGAACACCAAAAGAAAGAATTTGTAAAATACTCCAAAAGTTTCAGTGACACTCTGAAGACATATTTTAAAGATGGCAAGTAAGTATTGTTATTTATACTTTTCTACTAAAATTTTAAATTAATGTTTTTGTAGGCTATTAAAACCATGTCATTTAGGCCAGTGAGAGCTCTCCATTGGTAAAAGGCCTGACAACCCAAGTTTAATTCCAAACACTCACATGGTAGAGGTTAGGGGCCAGAGAAGATATGAATGTAAAAATTAAAAGGGAAAGATCATGTAAGATGAGCACACTATTAATAATAAAATCATCTGGTTTAACAGAACCAGGTGAATGGAAAGTGAGTGCCTTCTTATTGTCTAACCAAGCTTAAGCCTACATTGAGAATTTTTGAGACTTTCTGAAAAGGACCTGATGATAAAATTTCAAGTATACAATATTCTCCTGAACATGTTTTTATTTGTTTCTTTGTTTTGTTTTTTGCCATTTATAGATATGAAGCCATCCTTAACTTACTAGTTTGTACCAACACCTAAAATAATTTGTTTTCAAACTTTAGCGTCTGATGGACTAGGTCTGAAATTGGGGTCCAATAATTATACATTTCTAAGATTTTCCAGGTACTGTCAAAGCTGCTAGTGCCTTAAGAAATTGTGCACAGGAGTTAATATAATAATTCTCAATTCCTTCTCTGTTTGAAAACCACCCTGGGTCAGTTTTTAAAAGTCCCATTGCCACAATTTCCCATTGGACGATTTACACCTTGACCTGCACAGGAGCATGGTCTAGATGTATTGTAAATGTCCCAGGTGATAAAGTAGCTTACCACAGTGTTCTGCTAAATAAGAGATGCTAAAGAAACAGTATACCTGAGTAAAAAAGTACGAAAGCAAATGAATAGGAAAACCAAGACAGTTGAAAGTGGGATGTCAGTCTTACATTTATACAAAACTGCCTGTAGAGCCCTGTGTAGATTGAGGTATTGTGTTTTCTGTGTATGTACTTAGTTTTTAAACAGAAGGTGTGGGTCAGCAGTGCTTCAGGTAAAATGCTAAAAATTGTACTGAAAAGGACTTTTAAATAATTTATAAAACTAGGCTACTCTAAATAGGCACAGCAAACATCTTTGAAGTTTTAAGATCCTGTATAAAATAACACCCATTATATTATTATAATTTTTTTTAAATAAAAGCACAATGATGTATAAATTTTAGGGTCAATTTTAATGTTCAGACAAATTTAAATACTTATATTTATTTATATTACAATTTAAAGATAGTTGCATTAATGGTTTTATGTTCTTTATGCAAATTCACATTGTCTAGGGAAAATGATCCTTTGTGACTTAGTTTAATAAACTAAGCCTAAATAACCAAAGATATAATTTACATAATGGTATCATTATTTCTAATTTTAATTAATCATGTACAATAAAATGTTAAAGGGTGGAAATTTACATTCCGCTAATCTAAAATTATATATGCATTATTCAAGCTTGCTACTATTTTTCTGCTCTTTGGCCAGCTTTAAATTCAGTTTTGTTTTGTTTAAATATGCTGTGAGTTTTGGACTTGTCTACCCCAAATAGAAAAATTTTTAGTGGAGTGACATCTTTTAAGACATCTTGCACTAGGGAGACAAATTCTCATTAAATCAACTGGGTCATTCCTACCCGCTCCTGGGTGAAAAATGCCTAAGATGAAGATCCAAACAGCAGCCCTGGTACAGAGGAACTGATTGGGCTACACAGTGGCTACACAGACCCACCTACACAGTGGGTCTAACCACACATTGAGACTAGAGGCCCAGCTCTGCTCTGTAGTCACACAAGGACAGGCCTCTAGGAGACCATCCTGCACTTAAAATAGCTTTCCCCTCCTCCTGTAGCAGATATCCTGCCAACAGCTTCCCCTCCCTCCTGTTCTCCCAGTCCCTCCCCTCACTCCCAGATCAACTCCTCTTCTGTTTACCTTAAAAAAATAAAATAAAAAGCACCCCTCCCAGGAAAATCAACTGAACTTGGCCTAACAAGAAACAGTAAGACTTGTCTCAAACCTTCATATCAAGTCTGAACATGGCAACACAGTAAGAAAAAAACACCCCTCCCCCTCATTGTTGGGAGTGCCATAAGAACAAGCTATACCACCATACGGTATATGCTGATTAACCATCTCAGACCCATACAGGGTCTGTGTTTGTCATTAGAGAAGCTTTTAAAAGCATGCTTTTATATTTGTTGGCTCCAGATACTGAATTACTTGTTTTTGGGCAACAGTTAGGTTAGGGTGGGTGAGATTAAAAGTGATTAACTTTTCTTAGTTTATCATGCCCATTAATGGTAGATGTGCCATCAATCTCAAGGCTTAGTATCATGCTACAGCAGATCATGTTATTGGAGACCTCATCTGAGTCATGATTTCAGCATATAAGATTAAATTTGTTAACAGAATTTTATTTTGTATCTAAAATCACAGTCTCTACCAATTTGGATTCTCCTCTTGACCAGTGACTTGTTTAGCCTAAAAGATCTTGAGTTGGATTCTTTCAGAGGTCCCATCCTGTTTCTTCTCTTGTATCACTGCTGGTGTCTATCCTGTTTACCATTCAGAATGAGATTTAAGCATCCTCCCTAGGGTCCTCCTTAGTGTTTAGCTTCTTTAGGTCTGTAGATGGCTATCTTATATTATATGGCTAATATCCTCTTTATAAGTGAGTGTATACCATGTGTGTCTTTTCTATTTCTGGGTTACCTCACTTAGGATGATCTTTTCTAGTTCCATCCATTTGCCTGCAAATTACATGATTTCCTTGTTTTTAATAGCTGAGTAGTATTCTATTGTGTAGATGTACCACAATTTCTGAATCCATTACTTTGATTGTTTCCCGATTCTGGCTATTACAAATAAAGCTGCTGTGATAGTTGAGCAACAGGGGATCATAGCTACTGAGACTTATGGCCAAACTTTGGGTAGAGCTCAGAGAGTCTTATGGAAGAAGAGGGATGTTGGAAATAGAGGTACATAGAGGGGACAGGAGCCCCATAGGAAACCAGCAAAGCTAAAGGATCTGAGCCCAGCAGGTTGTGCAGAGACTGATGCACCAACTGCATCATGAGGACCATGGAGAGGACCTAGATCTCTTCTTGCCCAGATGTGCCCACTTGACAGCTCAGTCTCCATGTGGATCTCCAAGTAAGAGGAGCAGGGGCTACCTCTATCATGAATTTCATTGCCTGATCTTTGATCACTCGCCCCTGATGATGTAGCCTTGCCAAGCCACAGAGGAAGAGGATCCAGGCAGTCCTGTTGAGATTTAAAAATCTATGGGTTATAGATTTAAAAATCTATAGATGGCAGTGGTGGATAACTCCCCTTTCAGTGGACTAGGGGAAGGGGAAAGAAGAAGGAAGGGTGGGGCTAGATAGAAGCTTCAATCTGGATATTTAATGAATAAATTGTGAAATAAAAATTAAAAAAAAAAAAATGAAGGTGGTTGAGTTAGTAACCCTTCAACCCCTTATTGCCAATCAGAACCACCAGGAGTCAGTAATTCCCAGACACTGTAGATTTTTAGCCTAAGACATTAAATCCCAAACTGGAAAGTTTAGAATACTCACTACCAACTTGACTTTCCCCCTTTATTCCACTGCTACCATTTATATGACATTAGCTATAAATATTTTATTTTCAAGTAGTGAATTTTAGGAATGAAATTAATGCTTTTTCTTTTTCTTTTTAAACAGGGCAATAAATGTGTTCATAAGTGCCAACCGGCTAATTCATCAAACCAACTTGATACTTCAGACCTTCAAAACTGTGGCCTGAAAGTTGTATATGTTAAGAGATGTACTTCTCAGTGGCAGTATTAAACTGCATTTATCTGTAAATTTTAAAGTTTGACTGTATAAATTATCAGTCCCTCCTGAAGGGATCTAATCCAGGATGTTGAATGGGATTATTGCCATCTTACACCATATTTTTGTAAAATGTAGCTTAATCATAATCTCACACTGAAGATTTTGCATCACTTTTGCTATTATCATTCTTTTAAGAATTATAAGCCAAAAGAATTTACGCCTTAATGTGTCATTATATAACATTCCTTACAAGAACTGTAAATATTGGTGTTTGTTTCTGACATTTTAACTTGAAAGCGATATGCTGCAAGATAATGTATTTAACAATATTTGGTGGCAAATATTCAATAAATAGTTTACATCTGTTAAACATTTCTTTACTTGAAAAAAAAAGATACATATATATATGTGTGTGTGTATATATGATCAGAAGACCAAGACAATTTGGTATATTGTTAAAGATCTTCTAATGGGAGCTTACTAGCAGTTTATCAAATAATAAAGCAACAACAATTCCTATTTTTTTTTTTTTTTGTCCTTAATCACTTTGGGCAAAACATATAAAGGACTGTGTATTTTTTTCACTATTTCCAATCTTTAGAGACCTCTGACAAGAGAGTGCAGTCTACTGTGTCTTCATAATATAGTGACACTTTCTGAACAATGTGACATTGTAGATTATGATACCAAAAAAATTACTTCTGATACACTAGGCCCTAATAAGCTTTTCACATTTTGCCAAAGTAGTCAAAATTAATAAAAACTTTCAATAGCTGTATAGAGATTTTCATCAGTGTTAATATAATATACACTTTAATTTTATATTTTCACACTAGAGAAATTTAGGAAACTATTGGATATTGTGTTGAGTGATTTGAGTTTTCAATTAATAATAAAGGGAAATCGGTTTTTTTTCATCTCTTATAAAGAAATGAAATGTTAAACTAAATCTATTGGCAACATATTTTGGCTATAATATAATTTAGTTATTTTATTCTATTTTCGGAAAATAAGTTTCTAAAGGTTGCTATCATTGATAACATAAAACAACCCTGATATAAGTTAGTACGTGAAAAGAAGCAAAGCACAAAAGACAGATAATGCATTGAACTTTTAAACTTATGATTGTTTCTAATTTGATTTCTCTTTCTTCAAAAGAGAACTATTAAAACAAACATAAGTAATAACCTTTAGTATTTTCATCAAAAGCTATCCTTTATTGTTGGAAAATATGAACAAAGACAAGTGTGTTATTTGTAGAGGGCTTTTCTACTGAAAACTGCCATCTCCCTTTTATAATTCGTAAAAGTTTCAGCCTTGTTTTTATAAGTCTCTTCGTATTCTGTCATCCACTGCATGTGGTTTCCTTGTAGTGAAACATGTGCCCATAGAGACGCCAGTTCTGAGTGTCAGTTATATCTACAAATTCTTCTGAAAGATGGAAGTTGAATCAGTGAAGAGAGAGCCAGTGTTCAGATATCTTCTGTGGAGGGGCATAGAAGGGAACATTTTGTCCTGGTGCTGTCTGTGTCAAGTACTATTGAAAATGCATTCATTTAATTTGATCTCTTAAGGGTTCTATAATCATCTCATAGTTGAAGAACAAGAAGTGAGATGATAGCATAGCTGTCAGCTGAGGCCTGAACTTTTGGTTCATGTCTTCTATGTTTTCTCTCCACTTATTTTTGCTCAATAGGCAGAATTAGAGTTTAAGAGGCTACTTCACCACACCCCTTTCCGGTTTACTGGGATACAAATGATAACAGTGTGGTTTATTTCCTGACATACAATGCCCCACAATAGACTGAGTAAATGATAGGTGTTTGGGGGCTGATATTAGGGTGAGGAGCCAATGTCTGTCCTTTTTATTTTATTTTTTAACTTTGCATATGGAAATAATTTCACACTCTCAGAAAACTTGCAAGAATAATATTTACTCAGAGGAAAAACTATATACCTTTTGCCATCTTGTTTTCTTGCCCTGCCTTGTATCCCTGTACTCTCCATGCTTCAGTGTCTTTTATAAGTTGGTCCTCACTTCTGGTTTTCTTACTAGATCCAAGTTATATGTCCTTGGCCAAATAATTGCACTGATAGTTGTCATGAGGATGAGATTTGGAGCTCCTATCTATCTTCTCACTGATTCTAGTTTCCTGCTTATTGGGTCGTGTTTCTCCAATGTATAATATAATTTTCTACTACTTAGCAACCTCTGGGAGGCTTCTTAGTATATGCTAACATCTTCCTCCAGGGAGGAACATATACTGATGTTTCTTGCTTTGATCTAATTTCCAACTCAAGCATTATTTCTCCACGTGTACCAGTCAGCACTGGACATTCTACTGCAAACAGAAGTCTTCTTTCCCCATCCCATCTATTGTCTCATCCATCTGTGTTTCTACCTAAATTTAAATGTTGTTACAGGTTTGTATGTGTTTTTGTTTGTTTTGTTTTTCCCAATGGCTTATATTCCATACTTTGGTTCTCAATTTTTAATTTGCCAGATAGCTTCTCCAGGCTGTCTCCTGTGCCCTGTGAACTCTTCTTCTGTTTGTGTCACCCACCTGCAACCCTGAATTAATTAATTGTTAATTAATAGAAGCATCGCAAGATCTGTGATCAGCAGTGTCTCCATGGAACCAAAGAGAAGTCACTGAAGTTTAGACCTGTATGTTGGATGTGGTCGTTGCAGCTAAGCCATTCAGCAGACAAAGTAGGAAATGTGTGCCGCATACGTGCAAATTACATGTGCCTTCAGCACCGATCTCAGAAATCAACTCAACTCCACGTTCAAGCTCCACAGAGTTCTCTTTGTCAGCCTCCTACTGTATGTCTGTGCCGTAAACCTTAAACCATGGTTCCAATCACTTCACTTGTTCATTGCAGAAATGTATCTCAGTGAGGCTTAGAGTTATTTTACTCAGCTCGCTGAAGGGGATTTTTTCCCTCTTGTCCTGCTAAAGATTAAGAATATTTCATATGCATTCATAGATTACTTCTTGTTTCTTACTGACTGTGGAAGTGCAATTGCTTGCTTCAGTTTGCTTGAAGGTTTAAGATGTAGTTGGTAGCCACTCCCTCCCTTGCTGATGTAGTGATTTTAAAGTAAAAACCCCGCCATGCTGGTTCAGCCCAGAAGTACTGTGCAGCATTTACAGAGGAGCCTCAGCCCTTCTGCACTTGTTCATGACCCTATTTTGGTACTTTTTTTCCTCTCCTGTGTTTCTTTTTATGAAAGAAAAAACTGTAAAAAGCAAACTTATTTTTCTCCTGCTTTCTACCCTTTCCTCAGCATCTATGTAGGGAGAAAAACATTGTGGTTGGCCCAGGACAAGTTACAAATATTGGGAATTAAAATAAAAGTGGGCAAGCAGAAAGAATGAGTCTATTTTCTGTTGCTCACGACATCACTGCAGATTGTTACAGAGGTTTATTTTAGCTTACGAATTTAGTCCAGATTTGAGAAGCTGTCAACAATTGAGAGTCATGGTGCTGCAGCCCAATAGTTTTGAAGAACCTGGTTTCTCCTTGTAAAACGGCCTGTATTCAGCTCCACCTCTGATCTGCAAGCCTGCCACCATCCAAAGGTGTCCCTCCAAATCCCATGGTTAGATTATTTCACCCACTTAGCAGCTTCCAGTGGCATACAGAGGACAAACATTTTCAAACCATAGCCGTCACTCTGCATGGATGCACTTTTAAGTCTCTTAGTTTTTTGTTGTGACTGCAGACCAAACTAGCCTTGGCTTCGCCTCCCTCCTTCAACTCCCAACACTGGAACTAACGCTGTGCACCAGCCCACCTGTGCTTCACATATGTTCTCTAAAATAGGTATAATAGCAAACCTTAGCTGACTCGGGTATTCATGTATCTGCGCTTAAAACCAACTAGAGGTATAATTGTGCCATAAAATGCATTTTAGTTCAGTGATTTAAAACGTAATGTGGTACAACCTAACCATTGGTGTAGAATAGTCACTGTGAAGTCTCACGCTCAGTTATTCCTAGTTCTCATTCATTCCAAAAGTGAACAACAGTTCTGTTCTGGTAAGTTTGCCTTTTTAGGACACTTCATACAAACAGCTGTAGGTATCTCAGTGACGGTTCTGTCACTGTGAAGAAACACTTTGACCAAGGCAACTTATAAGAGAAAGCATTTAACTGGGAGCTTGCTCGCGGTTTCAGAGGTTAAGTCCATGCTCATCATGAACACGAAGTGTGTTGGCAAGCAGACCCTTTGACCCATAGCTGAGACATCTGTCCCACAAGCAAGAGAGCGAAACAGAGAGGAAGAGGGGGCTAGAGGGAGGGACATAAACACACACACACAGCCTGGCTTGGGCTTTGGAACCTCAAAGCCCACCCCCAGTGATACACCTCCTAAAAGACCACATCTAATCCTTAGCTGTTCATCCACAAACATTAAAATATGTGAGCCTGTGGGAGCCATTCTCTTTCAAGTCATCACAATATGGTGGTGTCTTCTACATCTGCTTCTCTGCCTTCTGGCTCACCATATCAGCATGTGCTTTCTTTTATTGCTGAAGAGCAATCCATCATGTATCTTATTTTCCATTATCCATCTAAAATTTTACTGGCATTTCAATCACATCTAATTTTTTTCAGGCTACTATAAAGTTTTAGGCAGAAATGTTTCTTGAATTTAGACTTGCAGTTTTGTTGGCGGGCATTGAACAATGTACTTGCTGTTTGCTAATTTTATATATAACTTCCAGGTACCTATGCTGTCCCACAGCCTTGACAGTAATATATGAGGGTGCCACATTCTCTTACACCTTTATCACATGTTAACGACTTTTAGAAAATCTTTGAGTGTGTGTGTTTGTGGGCTCACACGTGTCTGTGTGGATTCACACGTTTTCATGGCATATGTGCCATAAGATCTACTTAGAAGTCTCAAGACGGCCGTCGATGTCCAACCCCGACTTGACCTTGTTTGAGATGGCTTCTTGTGTGTACAGTGTGTACAGGGCTAAGTGTCCTACACGCTACCATGAATTCTTCTATCTCCACCTGCCATCTTGGTGTAGAAGCACTGGGGTTACAGATGCCCACTACTGTGGTATTATGTGGGTTTTGGAAATCCAAATTCAAAACCTTAGTCTTGTTCTGTATTCCTCCTCCTCAGCCCACAACTTTTATTTATTTACTGAAGTGAAGTGGTTTTATTATTTGCTGTTTTTGGAGGGGGAAGGATATTTTGTAGCACAGGCTAGCCTTGAATTCCCAATGTTCCTGTCTCAGTCTCCATGTGCTGGAGAAATGATTATCAAGTGTACACTGCCAAATAGAAGTGGCTTTAATCTGCATTTTCCTATTGACAGTGACACTGAGCATCTCCTCTTGGGCT